GCTAGAGGAAATATCCGAACAGAAAAAATCCTCGTAAGCTGTAAAGTTTGGCGCAGGATCTCACGTTGTAGCGGGGACGAAACACACCGCCACCTCCCGCGATATAACATTCACTGCACTACACTTGTTAGTGAATGTTACATTGAGTCCACGTCCCCGGAAACAAAATTAGATTGTATTTGCCCGACACACACAAAAGATCAACGTTTTGATACCAGTGCAATTAATTAAATATATATCTTTTAGCCTTTTCTGAATTTTTGCCTCCATTTTCTTAGTTTTTAAACGAATGTTTGGAAGTCAAGTAATGCTCTACTCAGAAGTCAATAACTGATTGTAAGCGTGATTACTAATAAACAATCCGGTTGCGCGTTCGGCGGCTTTTAATGTGACGGGTCCAAGATGGAACGAAAGCCGGTTTACGACGGCGTGGGACAACAATTCTGCAGATAACAACGCTGAATGGTTACCGGTCGAAATGCCATTACTGAGAGTTCTCCACACAGAACGGAGCAATCCCTTTCGCACAACGGCACGGAATCTGGCTACACTGAAGCGGCTGTTTTCCTGAAATTACACAGCTCTATCGCAAGCTCTCTTACAGAACTGGTGTAGGGTAAAGTAAACAGCGCTTGGCCATGACTTCCTACAGGCTATCTTCGACACAGCTTGGTGTTCGACGAAGTTTTAATTCAAATTGCTGCCCCGTGGCGTTCTCGTCTCGCGGTCTATTCTCTAGGTGGGTGTTTCATCCAACTTCTGGAAACACCCACCAGAGCTCACTGAACTGCAGACGTCGCTACAAACTTCGCGAACAAACATACACACGTAGATGTTAAAAATTAAAACGCCTATGTTAATACATTGACCAAAAACCGTCGATGTTTTAAAGTTGTTAGTAACCTCTAACATAAAATTCGCGCCCACCAAAATTTACAAAATTGGCATTACGCGAATTTTCTATTAACTAACAAATCATCAAGCACAAAACAATGTTTCTACAAATACATCGACAACGATGTCGCATCCCCAGTTCTTAGCTCAGTCCTAGAACTAGTCCAAGAGCCACCTTCGAGAGCGTATTGGCTGGCGTCACGCACGACGCGGCGAGTTCTTGCGCACGAGAATTTGCTTCGATTTTTGGGTAATTCATACCCTTATAATGAACAGCAGGAATATATAAAAGGACGCTTCCTCAAACGACGGCTGAAAATGTCGATAACAATACATCGAACACTTGTCAGGAATCTGACTTCTCAGTTACACTAGCACAAATAAATTTCACGAATTTACACGAAATAGTTGACGAACCTACATAACTTTTTTTAATTAGTCATTTCCGTCCAGCAAGTTTAATTACTTCGATGCATGATATTAATTGGACATGTTCAATACACATTAACAGATTCACAGTGAAACACTGTAACAGCGTTAAATCTCTGGGAATTTAAAATCATTTACAGTCCTGATCCCATCCCCCAATACACTCCTAGGTCACTTAAAATTGCTGTATCATTAACAATCATTTACGAACTGTCTGTACAAGGCCTACATTACGTTTCAATATTTACTCCTGAAAATTAAGTCGCATGCACTAGTGTACTGTCATTCACAAAACACATTTATATTTTTCACACATCTGGGATTTATCATCCCAAATAACCATGTACAGTTACGAGTATCCGAGCCCCAGTTATTTAAAAAATAATATACTGGAAACCAAGACATAGAGGTAAATAGTTTGCTGTATTAGTGGCGTGCTGACGTAAGCGGCGATCGTTGCGCACTCCAATTCGAGAAATGTTGGTAATTCCCGGAATTCGATAATCATAAGATTCGTTTCGCTAAGGCATTCCAGTATTCCAAAGTCATTGCAATAGTTCGATAGTAAAATATCTTGGTTGTATTCCAATTTTTTATTGAAAGTAATTATTGATGTACGTACGTACACACAAGTTACAATCATAATAATTTAAATTGTTAAAAGCAGTAGTCACACCGACAGAATTAAAAATTCCTTTTTTCTTATTTAGCCAAATATTTCAAACCACATGTATTTTCAAAATCCTCTGTACGTGGCGAACTTAATTTTTAGATTCTTGTGATGGGAAGCTAGTTGCGGCGGGCAAATACTTAAAACCACATTCAAACCATTCATCAGCGGTGCTCCATTCACAAAGGTAAAGCATGCAACGCTAGCTGCAATTTCACATACGTTGATATTGTGCAAATGGATAACAGGGATTTAAGGTTGTTTTTGGCAACGTGTACCGGCGTTCTACCATCGGTAGACCCTTCACAGTAGATCTCTCTTAAGAACAACTTTAGCTCGTCCACAAGCACTGTAGACTTTTATGACGTCAGTTTAGGTCCCGAAAGGACGGGCGGATACTTTTAATGGAGCTGTCAGCCAAAATACTTAGCTGGACGGTCTTAATCAAGCCCAAGATCGAAGTTAAGCCAGGTACATCGAGCACTCCTCGACTTCTGACCTATGCGACTTAAGAGCTCGTTTCTTGCAGCGCCGACACTCTCATCGTATCCCTAAGTACACTAAACAGTACTTATTACCGTGGCAAGAGTTTCATTGTATTACATGATTGATCAGTACTAGTTTGTTTTTTTGGGGGAGGGGGAGTGTTGCTTGACAAAACAATTGGCAGGTGTCCGGACAAAATTTTCCCTCTAAAAACAACGCGGGCTAGGTACATGAATTATTTTACAATTTTACAAAGAAAATACATGATTTCAAGATACATTTTAGTATTCTAAACGAGATTGTATTTTCTATAGTACTCCAGATTAATACTTTGAAACTTTTCGGTTGGATTTATCATACCCGTGCACAAAGCCAAATGTTTAATTAAAGTATTCAAACAACTAAGACCAATACAAAGTTAAACTTATATTCACTTTCTAAGGTGAAGGCAAAAGGACTATAGGCTAATAGTGATTGAAAGGAAAATCATGATTGGACCTTTTCTAGGATGAACACAAGCGCTATTAGAAGGGTTAGAAGAGGAAGGGTTCCCACTACAACTGTGATAAATATGCATGAGGATTCCTGAAAAGCAAACATTCTCACAGTAATTTTTTCTATAGTTTTATATTAAATTAAAGAAAAAATACATAATTAAAAAATGGAAAATTTTGTAAAGGTCTGTCAAACCAAGTTTAATTATGTTTATTATATAGGTAGCTACCTAACTACACTTGAATCTCTCTCTCCCCAGTACAAAATTGTTATCACAGATGTCCTTTTTTTTTCTTAAACAAATTCCCCTCACTTTCCCAAGGTTTTATTTTTCTCTGAAAAGATCTGTAGTGTATTTAATACTTAAAGAAAATATTAAATAAAAAGGCTTGGACGCCTGCTACTATTTGCCAGCTCTCTGCTTCCCTGAAGGGTTCAGTCCTGATTACAGATATAGCCACACACAGGTCAAATTCACCCACTGTCAGGATGAGAATTCTAGCAGCTAATTGCACATGGCAGTTTTTCTGAAGTTGTTCAGTGCAATACCAGATGAATGTCAGAACAGAACCCTTTACAAACAAGCCATTGACTGCAGTCTTTCCTTCTCGACCCTGGTCTCAATTTCTCCCCTTACACACATGCAGGGAGCCCAATTGGGAGCTTAGAGATTGACCCTGCTGAAAGAGATACCAGACCGGTGGAGTGCATGGGCGGAAAACTGCTGTGTAGGTTGACATTGGATTTCCTATTCCATGAGGGAGAAACAGATCATCCCATGAGATAATGACCATGGTACATGACATGCCCGGAAACACTAAAACCTCACACTCTCTGATTCACTGTGAAAAAGGCATGTTTATATTTGCTTTAAAAAGTAAAGATGCAGCCGAAAATAACACAACACTAATAGTTTGAGAAAAGTATCTTGTTTTATAATCTCAAAAACATTCACTTGTAAACATTCCATAAAAATCCTACTACATTTAACCTCCACATTTCTAGAACAATGAACTTCCTTGATTTTCCAGTTTTCTCCAGAAAGTGGCCACACTATTATAATGTATACTGATACAATTTTACCCAATTTTCAGTGAAATTACTTCCACTTGGGAAACTGGAGGAGCGTTTACAATGGGGGGGAGGGTTTTTAAAAAGACTTAATTTGGGGAACATTATCCAAATGGGCCCTAATAATTTTTACCAAGTCACTTTCAAAATATTGGAATCATTTAAATTAAACCATTCAATATTTTTTAACAATGTTGCTTCAATTTCTCCCTTCATAACAGTGATACATCTTGGACACAATTCACATAGTAAACACTAGACCAGGGGCTCAGGTGCAAAGGGCTCCATGCAAACAGCAGGAGAATTGATCGACATTTGATCAAATTAGGACATTCTCAGCAAGACTGTTTTTGGCACATGCACCATGTGGGAATGAGCCATCACATTAGGCACAAGCCAGTAATTTGTTTCCTTGCATGCATTTCAAGTTCAAAATCCATTAATTTGCAATTGTACATAATGCTTGCCAAAAGCCACAGAAAAATGAATTTTTCTCTTTTTTCTTCTTCTTGTTTTCAATGCAGTACAGTGAAAAGGGATATAACTCTTTACAACACAGGGATATTAAATTATCAATAGTAGATGCAATGAAAAACATTGCAATATTTACTTCTTAAATGCTTAGCACATTTTTTAATCAATTAATATGATATTATTTCACAAATTTTAAGAAATATTTTGACCTTAATCTGTAAAACATCCAAAACACTGAAATTAACTGGAAAGAGACAAGTTAAATAATTGTTCATTAAAATGTACTTTAAAAATGAAAATCAATCTGAAATTAAATAAAATGCTCTAATTACATGTTTAACTGTTAATAAAAATGGTTAAATTTTGTTTGATGTTGTAATCACAAATGTAATATAGACTATCTAGCACTGAAAGAATAATTTAAAATATATAATAAAAATAAGAAGGGTAAAATAGTACAATAAATCATTAACAAACTTACTTTTCATGTTTATCACATTTGTCATTGAGGTGTTTTTTGTGTTTATGATGATGTTTGTGTTTCCTTTTCTTCTTTTTTTTGCAGAAATTGGTGTCCTGAACTACAGTTTCCTCATTCTCTATTTTCTCAGGTTTGACATCAATTTCAACCTCCATTGAAGCCTCAGAATTCGTGTCAGACACACTAAAACAAAAGTAGTAATCAAACATTTATAATAGAATAATTATAATTAAAATAAGGAAAGAGGTATGAATTACAAAATTTTGCAGCTAGAAGTACCCTAATAATTGTTAAAAATATCGCAAAATTTCGATTACTATTATCTGTTACTACTACTACAGGAAAACCCCCTATTACCTCAGTAGTAGAAGAGCCTACGAAACACTAATGGAAAACTTGGCTTGGAATTTGGCTTTCGGACGTGACAAACAAATTAAAGGGAAAAAAAAACGTTGTGAAAAAATTATCTTGTATTGCTAAACGAAATCATAAATCCTTGACTGAAAAGGGTGCAATTCATGCTGGTTATACCGTTATACAGAGAAACAATAACCCGAAATAATTGTCATTGAAATTATAGAAATCAACAGAACATAGATAAAACGCGTAGAAGTTTTCCCGCAAAATTATAGCAATAATTACACCTCATCTAAGAACAGTGCAAATTTGTTCATAAATTACTTAAGCTTTAAGAAAAAAAAATCAACATGTTTACACCCCTTCAAGATCCGAAAAACTTCCTCAAAACATGTTCTAATTCAGAATACTACTTTCTCACCTGACGTCATCAAAAATTTTTACTCAATATATATCCTAAATGCATTTTAACTTTCGGAAAAACACTACTGCTACAGTAAGCAATTGTCAGAATACACAATACTAGGTTTAGGAGGTACATAAATTAAATACAAAGCCAAACGAGTACTGTGTGCTCAATTTATTTTCGAGGTTTTATCAGTATCACGAAATTACGGTACCGCTGAATTACGCAATAAGAAAATTTCCACTAGTCCAAAGAGCTTATTTCCACCTCTAGCGTTACTTATACCACGTTAGTTAGTAGTTTAACAACAAAGCTTCACCTATCCAAACTAGACGCAACATAGAAATCGACCCGAGATCTACATTATGCAACGGAAGCACACATTTCGCGAGTTCCTAGGCAACAACGTTGTAAAATGCAAGCTTGCACTTACCCCATTTATTAATTTACCTTCACAGTTCCCGGAAAACGAGAATTGGAACAGTCCAATAAAACAAAAAATAACTTTCAGAAAGATTCCATTTGGCCACAATACATAGTTAGGAACCGAATAGATCACCACAAGCAATGGCGTATGATTCACTACACCAAACACGCACAGATACAGAAACCGACTGATATTCCTTGGTCTCGTGCACGCAGCGATACCGCGACGGTCATGCCATCTCGTGAATTTTCTTGAACTACCGACTATGGAGAACTATTACGGTTTCACTTACACCATGAGGGAATACAGAATTATATTTCTCCATGACGAGTCCCGTCAATGGTAGTCAGAGAATTTACATAGAGGAACACGCAAAGCTGTGGGTGACTACAGTATATTGCGGGGTGAACATGAGAGCATCTCTCTGAGAGGACTGTTGCCCCTTCACCGATATTCACAATATTGTAGTCGCTCCTTTGTGTAGCGTCACAAAATATCGGTAACTTTGCCACGAATCAGTAGGCCATTAGTCCACGGGGTAAGATAATATATATCTTATACTGTGACCCAGACTTGATGCCATTGAGATGCTGGCCTGGCAGCAGCATATTATTAAAGAGAAATCGCAAAGTAGTACATTTTTTGATGACGTCATCACGTCTGAAACTTAGGCATATTAATAATTCAAAAGAGCGTGATCTACCATCCGTTCAGACGCACTTTGGGCCCAACCTGGGAAGGGATTTTTCTTAATAAATTATTTTTTAATTGATACTTGGCAGACCAAACACAAATTAAAATTTACGATAAACAACTACCACTTGCCCGACGGAACAGGGGTATTCACACTGTGTCGGAAAATAAAAATGCAAAGGAAATCAACTGAAGCGACCTCTGATACTAAAGGACAAACAAATGACTAGGAAGTTCATTAAAAATATTAGTAATACGTTTCCAAATTAGTACAGTAGAAGGGGATCCGGAAGTTCAAAAAAATGTTTTTCTTCTATTCTGTAGCCCTGTTTTTCCTATATCAAAAAAGTATATATTTTGCTTGTTTCAGCTTTGAAAATTCGATTCTTGGCTCTCAGGGATGAACCGCGTCTTAGTCGATCGAGCTGACGTTTCGGCCATCGTGTTGGGGCCTTCTTTAGAGCTATACTGCTGTAGCAAGCGGCACACCCCGGAAGCCAGCAAAAGAATATCAGAATCGCGTGCCCAAGAGAGTGAAAAGGCATTTATTTTCTGAAAGGTGATTAACAGGTGGGCGAGGAAGGAAACTCGGAGGGCGGGATGGGGCGTGGATGGAAGGCGGCCCTTCCTTGGAACTACTTGCAATTATTATTATTATTATTATTATTATTATTATTATTATTATTATTATTATTATTATTATTGTTGTTGTTGTTGTTGTTGTTATTATTATTATTACTTTCTCGCCCTCAAGAAGAGTAATGTTGCGGGAATAAGCGGCGAGTTTTGGGCAGAAAAACTCTTATTGTCGGGCCCTGGTAACAAAAAAGAGGATAAATCCAGTTGCTAAATTTTGGAAACAAATCCTCTAACTGTGGTGTAGCCAGAATCAATGTTTTGTAGATCCTTGTTATCGAAAAATCGCTTGATCGCAAAACGTCTGTCCATCTGCGCTAGCGGCTGAACCGCTCAAGCGATTTTCTCCAAAACTGATATTCCCCTATCGATCTGTCTGGTGTCGTGACCCCTTGAATTTGAAACCAATATTTTAATTTGGAGGGGGAGTACTTTGCACTCTGGGGCATTAAAAATGGATCCGTCGTTTTTTATTAATTTTTGCTGTCGGATAGTGGAAAGGACGTTTAAGAGAATGGTGTAGGTCTCATTTTCGTTGAAAACTCTGTAATTCTACGTAAAATATAGGCAATTTTTAATTTTCTTTAAACATTTTTTTCTTAAAACTGGCTCCATCGTTTTGATGAAATTTTGTTGTTGGATAGTCTGAAGGACGTTTAAAAGAATGGTACAGGTCTCATGTTCGCTAAAAACGCAGTTTCGAAAATTGAAAAAAATCTATGTCCTCCTACATCTACAACCATGAAGATACATTTTTTCCCCCTTAATGAAATGTATTCGTGAAAAAACTGATCTTCAAATGAGGCCATGTTGAATTTTTTGAAATATTTAGTATTTTATGTTTGGCAACAAACATAGTGATCCTCTTCGAAGTTACTCTCTTCGAAGTTAACGTAAAATTAATGGCCAGGCAGTTGGATGCTACGTAAGTTAGAATTTGTTTTTTCATATATCTTTCTTCGTTCCTTACTTTTTGTTATGCGTTTTAAAAGCTTTTGTTATCTTTTAGAAATTATTGAAAACCTCTTTTAAATTGAGTCCTTTAATTGAGTTAAATGTGAAAACGAATAGATGATTTCCCTTTGCTTAGTAAAATGTGGGAATGAAGAGTAATGCTCGTAAAAACCAAGTAATTTTGATGCATATTCAAATATGAGGCGTATTCGGAAAGTGAGTGCCGTTTTGAAAAAAATAGGAAAAAAATGTAAAAATGTTAAAAAAATAAAATAAAATTGATGCCAATTTCATTTTTACATGAATATACATTTATTAAACTATTTTTCAACATAGTTTCCGCCAATGTTCAAACACTTGTCGTAGCGAGTGACCAGTTTTTGAATACCATCTTCAAAGAAACTTACGGCCATCACCTGTAGAGTCAGCCCATTTTAAGTAGTCCAAAATTTAATATATTGGTAGCTCGACCATCTGGAATTGGGAATTTGGAAAGGTGCCTGTCGCGCCTCTAACACTCGGCCCAGCCGTTACCAGATACCGGAGCTTAATTCATCAAAAGAAAAACGGCAACTAATTTGTTATTTAGCGAAGTCTATCCAATATTTCCACAAACAATTTCAATGGGCGGGTGCCGATATTTGATTGGGCAAAGCTCAACCCCACTCCGATATCAATCGTTCTAATAGAGCGATAGGAACGCTACCACGCCGGTGAAGGAGTACGAGAAATAGGTTTCGTAGTAAGCTGGAGAGAGGAACGGATTCATTTAGATTCGAAATTTCATGTGAAATTACTCTGATAACATTGAATATAACAGAAAATATTCAGTGAAGAAAACAAGTTCCTTTTTTTTCTCAGTCTACACGTGGCATCAAATATTATACATTAGTTACAATATATCTTACGTTATAATGGAAAAAACGTACTTTTAAAATATAATACAATGAAGTGTTTTACTCAATGACATTCATATATTTTCACTTTCTCACTTTCTCAAAAATTGTAAATGCGCAGTTTTTAGTCTCTAACACACTGCATGCTCACGCTAGAACTGCCGTATCACAGAAAAGTTAGTCACTCGCTGACCTGTTTTAATCCGTAGGTTTCGCAGCGTGGACAAATTTCTTCTTTTGAAGATCTGTTAAATAAAATTGTTTTACGTGGACAATTGCCTAAAGTTTTCCGTTTGCCGGCTACGTTTCCACAGATTACAAGTATTGCTGGAAAACTATTTTAATCGCATCGCGGGTCCACGAAAATCAAATAAAATATGCTTTCAGGCTATTGCATTCAATTTTGGGTATGGCAGATATGGATGGTGCGAATAGTTAGAATTTAGTACAGTTCCCATTTTGAACGCGTTTGTGGTAATACACACAAAATTGCACATAAAATACCACAAGAGCTGTTTTTAAGCTAATTTTCTCTAATAAGATTATTTTCAATTTGTTCTGAAAATTATGTCTCAAAGTCAACTACATTTGATTCTTCCCCCTTCTTCATTTTTGCCCTTTAATTTTTGAAAAGATAAAACTTAACAAAGTCAATACAAATAGTATTAACTTTACTTTTGCAATTTCTCTATTAATCTTTTTGTAAGCTAATAAGGTGTTATGTTTAATAAGAATAAGTTCTTAGTCACATTCATTTGAAAATCGGCATTTGCACGCTTAAGAACGTACCTGAAGTCGAAAGTAATGGGTTTAATGTGCCCTCATTTTGTAGCATTTCTCACAGTTTGTGTTTCTCCATATCCACTTGAAGTTCTTCAAATTTAATAAACTTGCTACAACAAACCACGTTTTTAGAAATTTCTTAGAATCTTCAGACCTGATCCAAAAACAAATTATCAGTTACCTACGAGGAGACCGGGGGAGAAATAAGGCTTTAATTCAATTCAGTTCAAAAAATTCCAACTCCCAATAGCCTTGTATGTTACCTCGATAGGAGATATGAACTGGTAATGTTGCAATTTCAAAATTATAACCGCCGTATACATACTTGGAGGTACGAATGATGCAGAATGGTTAGAATTTAGATATTTTCTGTAAGCTGCTTTTGAGCGTTATTCTCTAATAAGATCGTTATCAATTACTTCCGAAAATTCTGTCGCAAAATCTTCTAGAACTACTTTATGATTCCCCGGATTTACTTAACACTTCTACATTTTTGTCCCCTAATTTTTGAAGAGATAACTCCGCTAAGTCAGTCTAATTGTGTTCACTTCTATACACACATTAAAGGGTTACTGTTTGTATGTTTATGTGAATAAGGTGTTAGTTATGTTTTAAAAAGAGTAAGTTGTTACTCGCAAATTATTTCAAAATCGGTATCTGCCAGCTTAATAATGTAAATGTGAGAGGTCGAACGTAAGAACGTAAATGTGCTTCTGTAGCATTACAGTGTGGTTATCTCCGTATTTACCTCAAGTTCTTAAAGGTCGATTTGTTCCAAGGCAATACTGTTCGTAGGTTTTTGCAAATGTATTTTTAAAAATACATAAATACAGAAGTAAATTAAATTAAATCTCCTTTGCGGCGATTCACTTGTCGCATTCAACGTAACCTACATAGATCTATTTGGGTGGCGTTGGTTTAATTCCCGGCATACTCACTAAGATGATGGCGCTAAAACGCGCGAAAACGCGTTTATGGCAATTTCTTAGAAACTTCTGGTCGGATCCGAAAACAAATTATCAGTTCCCCATCATAAGTCCGAGACGCATCGAATGACACTTCATACGTTTTGATTGGCGCATGGGATGTGTTTTAACCGTGAATGACGGATCCGCACACACGCACTCACACCCACAGTTACTGAAATACTGAAAAGGGATTAATTTTTTTTTCAAACTACCGATAAAAGTACAGTTTTATAATATATATTTGAAGATACGCGAAATGAAATGTATTTATCAACTTTTTAAATCTGTCGCAACATTAGGGGGGGGAGGGGGGCAGTTGCCCCCCCCCCTGAATCCCGCCTTTGTATATACGGAGTAATAAACGTAGTTTAGAGAAAGTTATGTAGTGCTGTGGAAAATAGATTTCAACAGAATTACACGTTTTGTGGTCCCTTTATACCGAAAAAGTTTTTTTGGGGGTCAAAACGTCCATCTGACTGCCCGTCTAGTGTCTGTGAACACTACTAGCGGCTAATCCATGCGTAGGTTTCTTTCCAAATTGAAGAAACCCGTATCTGGCTCGAGACGAATCTTTGAGATTTTGAAAAAAAATCTTTTTAATTTTAAAATTTCAATTTTTTCTGGCGTCTTCTCACACCTACAAAATTTAAGATAGAGATTTTTTCTTCAAATTCATTTTTTTCCGTAGTGAGTTCTTTCATTAAGGTCATGTACATTTTAAAAAAATAGTAGTTTTCGCACTATATTGCGAGCAATGTGTGTAATTTTAGAAAATACAAAAAACAATATTTTCTCAAAAACGGCTCCAATTTTTTCTTTAAACTTTTGGGAGGGATTGTTATAAATGCACTGTATAAGATGATACAAACGCCATATTTCTATATTCTTTTGTTTGTTTTTTTCAAAAATTACAAAAATATAATTTTCTTGACTTGTCTCTCATGTCGTTAATATTTACATTAGCGGCAAGTCCTTTACAGTAATATATTTATGAGTACATGTGCTTTAAATAATGTGGACTAATTTTCGCGAAAACTCAACAGTTTTCCGTGAAAATTAGCTCAAAATTCTGCATTTTCAGAAACGCTCAAACACCATTTCTCTAAAACAGCAGGAATTTTTTTCTTCAAACTTTTCTAACAGATGGCGCTAATTGAGCTGTTTAAGATAACATAGAATTAATTTTGCTGTATTAATTTTTTTCAAAAATTACACAAATGTAATTTTTTTAAAGATCTCTCACGTCTTTAATAGACACATTTTCAACAATTTGTAAACACTATTGCATTTGTGATTGGAAGCGCTTGAAATGACGACATATGAAGTTTTTTGAAAACACAATAGTTTTCTACATAAAGAGGTTCAAATTTCGAATTTACACTCGCGCTTAAGCGCCAGTTTCTTAAAAACGGCTCCAAATTTTTCAATGAAAATTGCCATTTGGCACGAGATTTTACTGTTCTTTAATATTTCGAAAGTAATAAATGTGATTCTCCTAGTAGGAAGTCGAAAAATTAAGAAAATTTTATATAAGTGTTCTTTGGGCGGCGATAGATGGCAGCTGGGAAAAGTGTGGCAAGTCCGAATAACTAGCCGAAATCAATAGAAATAGATAACTAATACGAGAAAGTCTGTAGGACCACTAGTTTGCAATTTTTTCAACAAAGGAAATAGGAGGAGCTTCGTCTTTTGCAGATTTTTGTCATCTAAAATTAGGGAACAAATGTACGAACCTTTGAAAAATGAAGAAATTGGCAATATTTTGGGCGGCGATAGATGGCAGCAGGAAAGAATTTGTATGTATATATATATATATATATATATATATATATATATATATATATATATATATATTGCTCGCAAATAGATTATGCGTGCATGTACCCAACATGTACAGGGGCTCAGAAACACTATCAACGGCAAGTTCATGTAATTGTTATCAGGGATCAGCAATTTCGCTGGATGCGATTTTTATCCCCAGGGTTATTAGCCCTGGGGGTATGGAAAATGAAATGGTGATGGTAAGATGACGCCAGACACAGATACAAACACAAATACTACCATGCCCGAGGCAGGACTCGAACCCGCAGTCTTCTGGTCGAGGACCGCTACGGTACTACTGCCTTAAAGACCCCGACCAGCTGATCAGCATGGTGCATTTATAATATCTAAACCGAAAGAATTAATTAAATTAAATTGCTGTTTCGCGAGGTTCGGCCAGAAAATCAATATTGTAATCTCTGTATGCAACAATGGATTCAAAAGAGCTGGCATCATTTGCCGAATTGCTTAACTACGATCCGTGAAGTCACGGAGGTTACGCAGTTCGAGTCATCGCTGGTCATCGCGGATTCCTAGGCGGGTGTCTGAAGGTATGAGTATGAGTTATGTCAAATCGCGGTTGTTGATTTCATTAAAAATAAGAATAGGGGAAGCGAAGATATATTACGCAAAAAAGTCATTAGGGATAACACAAATAAGGCAGTTAAACACGTGGCTTGAATCACAGTCTAACAACATGTCTTTTAGAATATTGAAATTCGATTCTCAAAATTTGAATTCAACATAGAAAACTTCAAAAAAAAATGGAATAATATATAGGTAAAATGGGATAAAATGGTGTAATATTTTTTAAATAATATTTCAATAACCATATATGTATTATAATACACTGGAAAAAAGTTAAATTATATCAAATTTTGGGACTTTGGTACGACCAAGAAGAACGTAGGGTAGACTGAAATACTTACTACCTCTATGTTTAGAGCACTCACAGTCTGTTATTAGACTATGGTAGACTGAAGATAATATTTGAATTTAAACGCAGTGGCACTTTAAGATCACGGGCTGGATGGAGAGAGAGGTTGATTGGTTGACCAACATTCACATCTAATCGGAAACTTCGTTACGACTTAATTTTTTGGTATTAGAGTTTTCGATTAGATGACAGTGTCGCCTCTCCTGCCAGTCCGCGATGTTTCTGTGTTCAATTTTGAGTATACTTTGATATCTGCATGATGTAAATAACACAATGTTTTATGTACATCATGGATGGCAAGCTTCCCAATCATCACCAGCGCTTGCATCTTGCATTCTCTCTGATCCAGATTTGCGCCATCTGCTTCCATTTGTGTGGTGGGGTGTAAGGTGAGCATGCTTGTTTTACACGTGCTGTCTTTAAATGAGAGATATTGAATTCGGATTATACCTGTGACAACATAACTGAAAGAAATTGCATTACTTTGTTTAATTGTTAACAATATTGTTAATAATTACGTTTTTGTGTAATTGTTATTTGATTCAACAGAATTAAACAACCACGATGGCGAAGAGCTTAAGAAGTAAAAGGAAGCGAATGTTCAGAAGCATTAAGAGAAAACGCTATGCAGCTAAAGAATTGATAAGGTTAAAGAACATGTTGGGATTGCCGATCACGGAATCGGAAGCAGGTGTGTAAATTTGATATACGTTTCTTTACTGCTATGCTAGTTCTGATACAATGAATATCGCCAGAAACAAATGGCAATTTTTTATTCCTCTCTCAGCCTCTCACTTGTGTATGAGTAATTAATGTATGAATGTGTTATCCCAACATTGTGTATCCACGGCTCTATAATAGTTGCAATGAAAAGTCCCGAATGAAGAATAATGAAAATACTTCATGGCAAGCAGAAGTGTAATTTTGGTATACTTTACTTTTACTGCCAAACTAGTTCTGATACAATGAATATCCCCAGAATCAAATGGCAATTTTTTATTTGGGATATTTGGAGATTAATATCCAAGGTTATCTCATGATGTAACCTCCCAATTGTTTGTTATTGAGGAATTAACGTGTAAATGTAATTATCCCTGTGTGTTTTCTTGAGCCCTAATGTCTCTAGATGTTTGGGGAGTGGGAGGTTTGATTATTTTATTGACAGGACTATTATGACATTGTAGCTCGTTTTTCGATGCAAACTATTTTCTGTTTGACAGGAGCAAACCCTTCTGGTTATCAGTTTGTCTACAAAACTTGTGGCTATCATTTATTCTGAAATCAACTAATGTTAGTGAAGGAATGAGGGTTGGTATGCTGGGCTCAAGAAAACGTGCACATATAATAATCCCAACATTATGTATCCATTGCTCTGTAATAGTTGCAATTGAATGTCCTGAATTAAGAATAACCAAAAATACTTTACAACACGTGATTTAAATAATGATTTTGCCAGGTGTATTTTAATTCCATTTTTCCACAATTCCATTTTTTCAGGACCTTGTGTGACTGATTTCTCTTTCTGTTTTAACCCTTGTTACACTATTTTTTGCCTTAGAAAAAATTTTCAGACTACTTCAGGTTTTTAAAGTGCAGTCAAGCTATTGTAAAATAGCTTAATCCATGTATATTTAATGACCCAGGAGTTTTATCATTGAAGTGTCATGAAAGACATTTGCTCAGAATATAATCCATTTGAGGAAGAATATTTGTAAAGGTTATGGACAATGATTTATTGAAAAAATAAATATGAAGAGTATATTCTTAATGGAGAGTATGAAATGATCAACATGCTAAGTGATTTTCATGAAGTTTTATTTTTTAAACAGCGAGACATATGATACGGATAAATGTTTTTCAGTGTAATACACATTTAATCACATATAGCCATGACGTAAAAACAACAACAACAAAAAAAAAAGTAAACAAATAGTAATTTACATCAAACATTGACAGCAATGTGCACATTTTGTTTTCCTTCACTGTTGAACACAGGATTAATAGATTGAGTGTGACTTGTTTTATTAATATGGAATATTATTGAATGGAATTCATAATATGGAATATTATGAACGTATGAATGAATATATTATGGAAATTCATAATTGGAATTTATTAATAATAATGGAACCATGCATGATATCAGGGTGTACCATGCCTTATGCAGTGAATCAAATTGGGATGATTTTTAATTTCTGTATTAACTAAAAATTTCCTTAAATCTACATATTACCTATTTTTGCATTATTGACCCCAGCAGGGCACATGTGCTACGGGCACAATGTTCTCACATGACATGGATGCAACACTCAATTTTGAGTAACATTTCAGCCACAATAAATGGCAGCGCGAGTTGCATGTGGCAATGTGCATGTTGCCAGTTGGACAGTCCTGGTCTAGAACTTAAGAAGTCAATCCTTTTCTTGCATCATTTATATGGGAATTAACTTCAATTTTACATAAAATGTCTTTTTCCCACTTTATCCTTAGTGGTATTATGCATCGTATTCTATTCTTTTGGTCAACTTGGATCATACTTGATGCTTCCTTAACATATCAGTTTTTCTTTTACCCATTTTTAAAGCGTTCTGTAATAAATTCTCTACACTATGAAAGCACATCGACATGTAACATGGTCTGTCGTATGTGTGTGTAGATGTATTTTTATCATAGTTTCTTAGGTTTTTCTTTAAATATGACAATGAACATTTAGCCGACTACTATTCAGTATTACACTGCAAATAACTAAAAAATTAATCAAAGTTTGTGTGTTTGTATTTCCAGGGCTATCTATACCAATATTTTGTGAAAAATCATGTATTAGAAAATAACAAGACAGTTGATTCACATTACAAGCCATATTTATGTTTTGCTGGAAACATATTTGCAGCATTTTTACTTTTTTTTGTTTTTTTGAAATCTGTAAGTGGAAAAGAGAACTTATTGCAATCACTGCAATTTGGTGTCTCTTGGTGTCTGGGTTTCAACAATATTAAATATTCTTCCCATTTGGAGTGTTCTGGTTAAACATAATTACAAATGCACTTAAATGAAGTAAAGGATATGCTAGTATAATTAATGAAGTTTTACTATAGCCTTTTAATTTATATTATTGAATTTGTATAATGCATTGTTTCTGAACATAGGTGGCTCTTTTTTCACTAGTGTAACTAAATTACTCTTTGTCTATGATAGTGAATGTGTAATATGAAACTGAAAGTGCATTTTATGTTATCAAATTGTGAATGTGATAGAGATTGGCAATACATTATTATTTCCATATAATTTGCTGATTCTCTAGAATCTTTAATATTGTTTGATCAATCATTGATGTGTTTTTTCTTTTCCCAGTTGTTCCTCCATTACACGTCGTAGAATACAAATTCAAGAAACATTCAAAAGTAAGAAGAGCGCCTGATAATGACCGACGGAGTTTAAACTTTAAATTTACTGAGAAAGGGAATTTAATACCATTAGAGCCATCAGATGACGAAGCTGAAGAAATGAATTCAGAGTCTGAGGGAGAACACAATCCAGTAACTAAAATAGAAGTTAATGAGTCTCAGGGAGAAAATGCGTCGAAAGAAGGTGCAACATCGATGGATCACTCGCAGAAGAAAGTGTATGATAAAAAAACAATGAGAGACGAGTCTGGAAACTTCCCACCATGGTTTACTCAGAAGGATATTAAAAAACAAGCCAAAAAAATGAAATTGAGAAAGAAAATTATGAAAAAGAAGGAGATATTGAGAGCAATTAATGAAAAGCAAAACAAAAAGTTAATAAGGCGAAAGCCAAAGAGACGGAAGGTTAAGGAGACAACTGAGGAGAAAAGTAAGGAGATGACTGAAGAGAAAAGTAAGGAGGTGATTGAGGAGAAGAGTAAGGAGGTGACAGAAAAGTCTAAGATTGTGGAACAAAGTAATAGCGATGAGAAGCAAAGTATGGAGATGGAACTATAAATGCGTTGAGCAAAACAGTATAGTGGTCTAAATTGATAATTTATATATGCTTCTTTCCATCTTTGTGAAGTATTTTGGGAAAAAGGCAAATGTTGATCTCTTACCCGTAGGTGATTGTTTTGTTGTTCAAAACAAATTGTGTTAGGAGAGCAGTTAGATTACAAGAGTGCAAATTTTAAATGGGTGTAAAGACAACTAATGTAAATAAATTCTGTTAAATTGTATGGCCTGTTTATTTTTTGCAACAACTTCCTATTCACAATGTTTTCGTACAAGTTTAAATGTTTTAGAATTGAAGTTTCTACATATGTAAAGTTAGAAATTATTTCAAGTTTTGGCTTCAATGGGTTAATTCTTCTTAACTATGTAAGCAATAAAGAACTACACTGAGTATTCAGGAAATTTATTAATTGGTTTTACTGATAAGACATACAACATTCTTTTGTCTCTTGTATTAAATAGCTTTCTCTCTTTGCTCTTTAGCTTTTGAACTGAACATTTAGAATGAATATGATAGTATTTTGACTTGATTATATAAATTTATATATTTGTTTTAAAATCTTTTTGCTTTTTCGCCTTAATGAGTAAGAAGCGAGAGAATTGTAATTGTGTGCTGGAGAAGGGCAATTTTTCGACAGAAAAACTCATGGAGCCCTGGTAAAAAAAATTTGGATAATTCTTGTACGTACATGTGATAAATTACTTCCTCTGACATATGTAGTTATGCATATTTTCTGGGTCTTTGATGCTGAAAATTGATTTATGACAAAACACATCTGTCTGCTCAATGCTAGTGCAAAAACTGTTTAGCTGATTTTCTCCAAAATTGATACTCCATGATCAATTTAACCTTTTATAGGTTGGGTAACTTTTTATCTGGAATTATTTTAATTTTTTGTATTTACTTAATTTTGATCTTAAACGTATGAGAAAAATATTAATTTGTGATTGGAATAAAGATAAGATAAATAAGAAAATGATGTGGTCGTAATAACTGCCACAATCCATTTAGGGCTATGCATTACTCTGTCGTTTGTGATAGTGTACAGAACCACCTTGTATAATTTCTGAATAAAAAATATATTTTCACAAATTAACATGTTCATGTTCTTGACAAAGTAGACGAAAAACAAATAGGTGTAGACATGAAATACAAAAACAAGAAAATTGAAAACAAATAGTGCAAATAAATAAATATTCAACAATAATTATTTCATACAATATTTCATTTCATTCATATCTAAAATAGTATAATCACTGGTTAAAGAAATCAATATTGGAGGAAACGTTGCTACTAGAGTTCATTAGCTGTGTTATTGATGTCCTGTCATTGCACTGAAATTCCCTCCATTACCTGAATCTAATGCATCATCATTCTAGCCAATTTCCCCCCACCAAGTTGTTAAATTCCTATTAGGTCGTAGGTTCCAAACCATGCAAAACTTGCAAATGTACATGTAACAAATATAGGTGTTAGAATATACAATGCAAATATTACGTAAACACTGAGCAAATGTAACATTATTAATTATTATTATTATATTCTGTAAGTCACAAATATTTGGAAAACTAAATCTGTTTGGTGATAATCTTACACCATTAGATAACAAATTGAATAGTTTAAAAACTTATTTAAAATTCATATTTTCACTGAACAAAAAAATACAATTGTGTACTTATTCCTGACTACACCCCAGCGAATACAAGTGTAAATGTCATTGAAATAAAAATGTAGTATTTTATAATTAAATATATTGTAATAATAAAAAACATTACAATAAATAATAATAATAAATAAGTATCAAACATCTGTTCTTAAAAAACTTAAGAAACAAAAATCGAAGCCCCTACTAAATGTTCAAATGAATACACTGCGTCAGTGCATGTTGTGGTTGCGACGATGGGTTCGTAGGCTTCCGCGGCCGGAATCAATGTATTCTTGGCTATCCGGGATGAGCTGCGTCTCAGTTAATTGGACTAACGTTTCAGCCATCTAGCTGTGGCCTTCTGAGCTATACTGCTCTTTTGCCTTGCGTTGCGACGATGACCACATGCATGGCCCAGCAGCTAGATTTCCAAGAATTAATGGGATCACAGTCTGCAAGAATTGTATTACATTGGCGCAGTCTCTACAATGCAAAATTAGCCATACGGTTGAAAATTGCTTGGCTTAGCTAAGTAAAACCAATCGAAAGGTTGAAGAAATTTGAGGTCCTCTTCATGGTTTGAATGATGTTCAAGATATTTGTGGAATGGGTGGAATTGTTAATCAGATACCTTTAACTTCTGTATGTTTTTTAATTTCAGATTTGGGATTATGTGATATGCCTTTTTTGTCAGGATTTTATTCAAATTGCTTAATTTTTGAATGAGATTAATAAGAAATTTTACTTTATTAATTTTTGTTTTTTCTTTCCACTGGACTTTCCACTGTTTGTTATACTTTTTGATTAATTTATTATGTTATGGTAGGTGAATTTGAAATGGATATTTACATTTTGGGGGGTACTTCATATGAAGCTTCAATTACATTTTCAAAAAGGATTCCAAATTTTTTGAATAAACTTTCCCTCGAGTAGTGTAAATGACACTTCAAAGAATAGTGCACACCTAATTTTCATTAAAATCTCAATTTTTCAAAAATTTGCTCTGTCTTCCTGCAACTGTAATATTGAGGTTAGAGATTATATTTTAAATGAAAACTGTTCTTCATAGACATCTTGAAAAAAGGTCATGTATAATTTTTTTTTAATTTGGAAGCTGTTGCATAATTTTGCATGAAATATGGGTAATTTTTTTAACAATTGAAGCAAAACTGACTACATCAACCAAAATAAATTTAGAAAATTGCAAAAAACTTAAGTTAGCATTTGTGAATGGAGGGTAAATGGTGTCAGACTTTTTGAGAACTGCAGTTCAAAGATGGCAGATATAATCTATTGCGTTGGGAAAAGTCAACAAGCGAAATCTTCTGAATACTTGAAATGTTTAATTTGGAAGTACGGCTTTGAAAGTGTACATTTGAAGAACTGTTTTTAAACAAATCCAAAGTGAATTAACGAAAACAACCAGCATTCATTATAAGTTAACTAACTATAAACAAAATTTCTCAAATTCAGAATATTTTACGTTCAGGAACTTAAAATATTGATCTAACAGAAGCTGTGGTAGCTGGTATGTGTCATCCTTCTCCTTTGCAAGTAGTTTCCCTGTTATATACAAAAGTGCTAGTTTAACCTCTGAACCCGTTTTCTGCCGGAAAATAGACGTTCTGAAGGGAAATCATTTTAAACTTTATTTCTGGGCATTTACTTTCTACAATTCAGTAATAATTTCCTTCTGTTAAAAGGAAAGGAGATAGTTTTGAACTAATATAAAGGTATTAAATAATTATAAGTATTAGGAAGGTTTTTGTAGAACTGTATATGAATTGAATAAGTTTTGTAAGAGTAAACTTATAAGATTGAGAATGTTTTGAAAAAGTACATTGAACACTAATTGAGAATGTTTTGATGCTTATTTGCAAAGAGCAGTAAGTTTTGATGACATTGTATGAACGTTGACATTGACAGAGGGGTTCGTAAAGATTTCAAGTGAAGAATCAATTATACAGGATATAATCTCAATTAAAAAAAAAAGCATTTAGAGTTTTGTGAAAGGACACTGCAATTATTTCTGAAAAAACTACCCCAAATTTTTTGTTTAAATTTACCCATTGTGTCAATGGATAGTAAACAACTGGTGCTAATTCCATTTTCTGCAAACTCTTTTTCTTCAAAAATTGTAAATGGTTAACATTGTTAATTACAAATTACAAATTACAAATTTGAAGTTTGAGATTTTTGCGTTAAAATCTGTTCTAAAAAATTAATCTTTATAAAAGGTCATGATCAGTTTTTTGGTAGAGTTGTTTTTGTGCAATATATGCTTGAAATTAATGCAGATTATAAGAAAAACATTTTCTCAGGAACTCCTAAATTTTTCTTCAATTTTTCCCCCCCCAAGATGGTTAAAATAATGGTGCAGGTCTCGTGATTGTTGAACTCTCAATTTTCAGAAATTGTACAAGTTAGAAATAATATGAAAGAGTATGTGCTGTTGGAGCACCTAGTTTCTTAATTTCATATTGTATTCTTTCTCTGAACCCTTTTAATCCCTTTCAGTTCATTTCGTAGCTGTTTATTGACACAATAAAATTTGAAATCGTCTGTCCATTTATTTCATGTTAGTTATATCAACTAATCATTAGTGTTAGATATTTGAAGTATACATTTGTAATGTTTTCCTTGGATATGTACGAATTAAGAGAGACATAAAATTACATAAGATTAACTGTGACAATATTTTAATTACAAGCCAATGCTGATAATGTTAATTAAATGTTAAACTAGCATTAATAGCATTGTAAGATAAAATTATTCCATCTTAAATAAAACTAAAGCTACTCTCAATAGTTCTGTTATTATTATTATTATTATTATTATTATTATTATTGGCCATTACTGATCACGCTACACGATTAACGTGTGTAATTCTTCCAGGATCAGCTTTCGAGCTGTATTCTTGGATTACAACAAGGTTGTTACGCCTTGAAGCGTGAACTGTGAGATGATAGGTTGATAATGGATTAGGAGGTGATAGGATATTGGTGAAAGGTGATCGTGGACTTTTTGAACCATCCCAGCATTCGCCTTATGACCGAGGGAAACCACGAAAACCCCGGTCAGGATGGCCGGCCGGGGAATCGAACCTGGACCTCCCGATTACGAAGTCAGCGCGCTACGCACTGAGCCACTTCGCTCGGTTATTGTTATTATTATTACTATAATATTGTTATCTTACATTATTCACAGTATCTACTGGTCGGTATGTCAACCACACTCAGGAATGATGACCAGGTGTGTGGTTGCTTTACTGAAGGTTCAGATGGTTTCTGACAATACGGCATGT